TTTTTCTCAATTTGAAAAAAAAAAATTGACCCCAGTTTAATGAAGTATGAAAATTTATGTAATTTAAAACTGGTAGGCCAAATGATTTAGGTAAATATAAAGAGAATATGGAGTCATTTGTCAGGATTTCTTTTACATTATTCTCAATTTTGGATATCACAATATTTTCTGAAAAATATCCCACTCACAATGTAAAGAGCTTTTGTTCAGTATCGGAGTGAAAAATGAGGATTTTAAGTTTATTTATTTATTTTGAGAGAGAGAGTGCACAGAGACAGAAGTAGAGAAAGAATCCCAAGCAGGCTTCGTACTGTCAGTGCAGAGCCTGACATGGGGCTCAAACTCACGAACTACGTGATCATGACCTGAGCCCAAATTAGGAGTCAGATGCTTAACCGACTGAGCCACCCGAGAGCTCCAAAATGAGAATTTAATAAATATTTTTCATAGTACCTACTAAGGTTTCCACTACATAGGAAAAGAAATGATTATGGTGCTATACATATAGCCAAGCATCCTAGCAGGAAGGGCCCTTTTTCTCAGAATAATTTCTGAAGCATATTTTGGTGAGGAAATACCTGCTTAGTTCCTTAAATGTAAAGGCAACCCCCAAACATTTCCCAAGTTACATAAAGTCATAGGTAAGACAACAGGGTTCTGTCCCAGTGAGATGTCACCACATGACAACGCCACTGGAACACCTCCGTGTGGGCTCAGACTGACATAGTGGAAAATCTCATCATCAGAAGGGCTAAAGGCAACTTTCTGCCTCTACAGCTGTTACCCTGATAGCACTTAAGAAGGCATGGTTTGTTGAAAGACAGGTAATTTTACTCTTCACCTTGAGTATTTTGCTTTGTGTAAGGATAGCTGAATATGTCATAAACTGCTACATCTCACATGCAATTGAACAAGGAAGCAGGCTGTTATATTTAAGAGATTTGTGGCTACTTAACCCTGACCCATCAGAAGAATCTCCCAGCTGTCCACACCCTGTTTATCCTACATGGGGATGAACATGCCTTCCTACATATTGGGAATTGTATCTTAGATTTAAAGGTTAAAACCTAGCAAAGCTATTTTCACACCTGAGAAGCAGGGTGACATCGCGATTACATGCATGAGCTCTGTATTGCACATTTCACATTCAGCCTGACTTTGTCACTTGTAATTGTTTGACAAAGTCAATTACTTAACTTCTCTATGCTTGTTCCCCCACCCAGAAAATGGGGTAACCACATAAAGGGTGTTATGTATTACTTTTAATGATCAGAATAAAAAAAATGTAGCTGCTCATACAACAGCAGGGTGTCTTCTCACCTGCACGGAGAGCATGGCCACGGTTACAAACAGTTAAAAGAACTTTCATTCTAGAGACCTAAAAAGAATCTTTGCTTTTCATACCACCTACAGCAATGGCTTTATCAGCTTCGTGGTCTATGAATCTCCTTTATCTGAACACAAATTTTTGTGTCAATGTGTACTTTTCTGGGAAGGGATCCACAACTTTCATCAAATTCCTTGACTCAAAATATGTGGAAGAATCACTGAAAGAAAGGTTCAGCAATTGCCCCTCTGAACAAAAGATCTCTAACTGAGAGAGAGAGCACACACAGGCCACTGCTCTGCTCTTTGCAGTACGGTGGTCAAGGCAAATATGGGTTCAAACTCTCATTCCATTATGTTCTTGTACCAGCTACACAACCGTGGTAAGGCCCAGTTCCTCATCTTTAAACCAGGACTAACTGCACTTACCTCATGGAGGCGCATTTATTTTAAAAAATAAAATCATTTTGGGGTGCCTGGGTAGCTCAGTCGGTTAAATGTCTGACTTCAGCTCAGGTCATGATCTCGTAGTTCGTGAGTTCAAGCCCTGTGTCGGGCTCTGTGCTGACAGGTCAGAGACTGGAGACTGCTTCGGGTTCTGTGTTTCCCTCTCTCCCTGCCCCTCCCCTGCTCATGCTCTGTCTCTCTCAAAAATAAATATGAAAAAAATAAAATCATTTTGACTCACACATATTACATTAAGAAATACAAATAACATTAAAAAAATTTCATTTAATGTTTATTTTTTGAGAGAGACAGAGCACGAGTGGTGGAGGGACAGAGAGAGAGGGAGACACAGAACCTGAAGCAGGCTCCAGGCTCTGACCTGTCAGCACAGAGCCTGATGTGGGGCTTGAACCCATGAACCATGAGATCATGACCTGAGCTGAAGTTGGGTGCTTAACTGACTGAGCCACCCACGCACGCCACAAATAACATTTTTAATGAATGGAAATGTACATCTTAATTAACTGCTCTTTGAGAGCAGGGACAGCCCTGTGGGGACAAGCCCTGCACTAGATCTGGGTTCTGCAGTTGGTTCTTTTGTGTGATTCCGAGCTAAGCCACTTAGCCTCTCTGTCTCTTTGCTCTTCTGCAAGAGGCCAGAATCACACCTGCATTCCTGCCTCATAATGATCTCAGATGTTCATTTATGAAAGCTCAAGTGAGACAGTGGGTGCAAAAGCATGTGGAAGAAAGCCTCTGAGTAAGACTGGTGATGAAAACAGCCAGATACACAAATGACTAAGACATATGGCCTATGAGTCACAGAGCAGGTGTCGGCTCATTGGCTGGCAATACCTTAAAAAGCCAAATCCTGCTGCGATTACCCCCAAACACTGCTGGAGAGGCCGCAGGAAGAAAAAAGTGAAAAGTAAAAGTCAGGAAACATAAGGCGCAGACCGGCAGGAGGAAAAGGTGGTAGCTATGATTAGAAGCAACAATGAGGCTAGGGAAAAGCAGACTCAGTTTAGGGACACCAGACTACAGAAAATGGTGTACCATGTGAATACACCTCTGCTTTTTCTGTTTCTATTTCTTTGAACACACCTCTTTCTTTAGCATGGAACACCCTTCTCTTTTTTTTTTTTTTT